TATAGATATTTTGATACTGATTTCTACAAATTTTTTACCCTCCTAAAACTTAATTTGACCTTAATAAATGCAAATAAGGTCAGTATAGCATCTTATTTCCAAGGTCAAGTTTGTTTAGGCTAGAAATGTGAGTTATTAATGAAAAATGATGTATGACCATAAATTTTTACTTACTTAAAGTCGCTACTAATGTTTTATGCTCGACACAGATGCGAAATACAATCCTTAAAAGAACATCATTTATAGCAGAATTTCGAGAATTTAAAACAATTACATCTTGGAAAACACTATCATGGTTTTACGTGTTCAACACATAATACTAGAAAATGAAAATAAAACAAATACAAAATAATTTAAAACATATGAAATGCAAGACAACAATTGTAACCTAAGACTAGAAAATTAAATATGTTCATATCTTATGCACGTGTCATGGCCTCTGCTCGCGATTCCACCGTCATCCGTACATGGGCTCCTTGCCTTTACATGAAAAATGTCGTGGCACACGGCCTGAGTATTTTGAAGAATACTCAGTATATGACCCAACTATAGGGGTCATGCTAAATATAAACACATGCAAATATGAGGTAGGGACCTATCTCTATCTCATACTACGGGTGGTCTTTAGTCGGGACTAACTATAGATGTGTAGTACATCCCTACACATAACCCACACGTGCAAGTGTGAATCTCTAGGCGGTTCGCACCCCCCTGATCCATCATCGTTGAGCTAGTTGTCTGTAGTGACATGTTGAGGTCAACGAACCTCTTGGTATCATGCTCAACATGATTACCGTCATCATCATACTATGTTCATCCACACTCATCATCATAAAGGGGAAGTATCCCGATGCTTATGTACAAACAACATGCATGAGGTCCCTCTAGTTCATATCTTAGACATTTTTCTTACACAACCCTAGTTTTATCACTATATTACATTTAGTAATGCATGCTCATTAGATATTTATGTTAATATCGTTAAGCATGCTCTTAGGGTTATGTCCTAAGTCGATCTCTCAATACGATACAACATGGTAGTCATCATCACACAACATGCTTCATATGAAAAAAAATCATCATATTAAGGTTAACGTCATACTTTACTATCTGTTCGGTTAAAAGTTGATGTTTGTATGATGACACGTTCCTCGTGATTCTGCATGTGTTATATGCTTGATATGTGTGAAATGTTTATGGAACGATGTGATTGTGGAGTGTGCATGAAATGATTTGACTAAGATATCTTTATGAAATGATACAACTAGGATATGTTTATGAAACAATATGACTTGGATATATGTATGAAATAATATGACTAAGATATGTTTACAAAACGAGATGACTATGATATGTTTATGAAATGATATGACAAGTATATTTTTATAAATGATACGACTATGATACGTTTATGAAATGAGATGACCATGATATGTTTGCGAAAGAATATGACTGGGTTATGTTATAAAACGATATGACTGTGACTGTGACATGTTTACAAAGAATATGACTATGATATGTTTACAAGATGATAAGTCCATGATATGTGTGTGATACAACGTGACTATGAGATGATATGTGAATGTTATGACACGATGCATGATATGAATGATATACGAAAAAATGTGTCGACATAATGCATCAACAGCTCCTTGGAATGCTCGTCTAACCATAAAAGGGGCACAAAAGGAGTGTGACTCGACTAGTGGGTTCATACTCGCATGTGTGTAGAATATTAAATACACGTCCAATTAACCTATTTAGTTTAGACGCCTAAAAAATATAAACTTATATGATAGGTCCCACACATCATTGTATGTGTTTGCATCCAACCTCAATATTAGAGTCACTTAATGAATATTTCTTAAAATATAATCATATGCTACTTCTATTTCAAGTAAAGGCAAGGCATTCCTGCACGACTAACGACCACGTCACAATTTGAGACCATGGCACATGCATAGGGGGTAGGGGTAGTTGTATGTATTTTCTTAGAGTTAGATTAGAATAGGGTGTTTTTAATTTTAATGCTTAATTAATTGCTTTAGTATTTCATTGTGTTGTTTTAAAGATGTTTTTGAACACGTAAGTAGGTGGCAATGTTTTCAGATGATGTCTATGTTTTATAATGAAGTTTAAACGCTTATTTCTACAAAAAAAAATGATTAAGTCATCATAACGACAGCAACTTTAGAAAAGTAGAAATCTAAGGTCATCAAAATATTGTTGTGGGAAGGAAGGATTTGCTCCCCTATATTAGAAGTTTATGTCACGTGGGCACAAATTCAATTAAGAATTAATGGATTAAGATTTAAACATTGTACTTTACATGTTTTTTAACCCCAAAAAAGAAAAAATTAATAATAATAATCCAGACTATGAGATTATAATAAACGATTAAGCATTAAATTCGCTTTTGAAATTAAAGTATTAAACTTCTAATTAAACATTTATACTATAATTATTTTTCTTATAAGATGTTATTTATGTTATTTCATTG